GCATTTTCATCTTTTGGTAGTGCTTGGTGAATATTTAATAGAAATTAGGAGAAGAACTGTCAAATGCTTTAATTACTCAGCCATCATCCTAGTCTTAAATAGTGGGTCCAAGTTTGTTTAACTTACTTTATATAATCTGGGTATTATAAGACACTCAAGGAAGAGTCTCTTCCTCCATTAGCCTGATACTTTTTTTTTTCTCCTTCCAAATCTTTTACTCGGTGTTGGGGTTTTTTTTTGGGGGGAGGGGGGTGTTTCTTTCAGCATCTGTTGTACTCATGTTCCCTTGGGCACAGGACATGCAGACCTTCTCGTGGTTGCACAAGACACACCAGCGCACACACAGATGCACACACACAGACACAGCACAGGTCCAGTTCTCCAGGTTCAGTCCCCTGGCACCGCTCCCCACACTCATTTGTACGTCTTCATGTGCCACAGCCCGTCGTTCAGGTAGTGGATGTTCTCTATGCTGAAGCCCTGTTGACCTTCTCGATGTCCTCCATAGCCTGATACTTTAAATGCAAGTGTTAAAACAATTTATTTGTGTGAAATACTTGACATTGTCAGGAGCCTCATGAAATGCAAATATTCTCCAAAGGGATAAAATAGGTCAGTTATCCTGGTTTGATAACTTTAAATCATCAAGCAAAGCTAGTTTGCTCTGGCAATGAGGGAGTGAAGCACAAAAGCTCATGACAGCTGATGTTTTTTCCAGGATTCAGACCACCACTTTAAATTAGGGAAGCAGAAACATTTTAACTGCTCTGAACCATCCCTTGTGTTCCAGGCAATCTCTGACAAGTCCTCAGTACTTCCTATCTAGAGTATCTCAACTAGTTTATAAGCATCAGAGAAGAATTGGAAAGCATCATCACAACTGCTGATCAATCCCAGGATCTTGGGGGGAGGGGCAAGATGGCGGAAGAGCAGGGTCCCCAAATCGCCTGTCCCCACCAAATTACCTAGATAACCTTCAAACCATCCTGAAAATTTACGAATTCGGCCTGAGATGTAAAGAGAGACCAGCTGGAACGCTACAGTGAGAAGAGTCCGCGCTTCTATCAAGGTAGGAAGACGGGGAAAAAGAAATAAAGGAACAAAAGGCCTCCGAGGGGGAGGGGCCCCGCGAGGAGCCGGGCTGAGGCCCCGGCGAGTGTCCCCAGGACAGGAGAGCCCCGTCCCGGAGGAGCAGGAGCTGCACCAACCTTCCCGGGCGGGCGGAAAGGGGCTCGCAGGGAGTTGGAGCAGGACCCAGGAGAGCGGGGATGCCCTCGGGCTCCCGGGGACACTAACAGACACCTGCGAGCGCAGGAGAGTGCTCCGAGCTCCCTAAGGGCTGCAGCGCGCGCACGGCGGGACCGACCGGAGCAGCTCGGAGGGGCTCAGGAGCGGCTCCGCGGAGGGGGCTGCGGGGCGGGAGCGTGAATCCACCAGCGCAGGCCCCGGAGCACAGGGCGCCGGGACACAGCCCAGGATCCGGCCTCCCCCGGGACAGGCAGAGGCCGGGAGGGCCCGAGACAGCGAAGACGCTCCTGCCCCGAGCTGAGCAGATCAGCGGCCCCGCCCCGGAGCCTCCAGGCCCTGCGGACGGAGAGCCGAGAGCCCCGAGCCCCATAGTTCCTGCGGAGGCTGAATCCAGGCTTCCAGAGCTGCCATAGCCACTGGGGCTGTTCCTCCTGGGGCCCGACGGGGTAAACAACCCCCGCTGAGCCCTGCAGCAGGCAGGGGCAGAGCAGCTCCCCCAAGTGCTAACACCTGAAAATCAGCGCAGCAGGCCCCTCCCCCAGAAGACCAGCTAGAGGGACCAGTGATACTCCCCCGTGTTCCAATACAGCTTGTTTTTGGCCACTCTGCACTGAGCAAAATGACTAGAAGGAAAACCTCACTTCAAAAGAAAAAATCAGAAACAGCCCTCTTTCCCACAGAGTTACAAAATCTGGATTACACTTCAATGTCAGAAAGCCAATTCAGAAGCACCATTATACAGCTACTGGTGGCTCTAGAAAAAAGCATTAAGGCCTCACGAGACTTCATGACTGCAGAATTTAGATCCAATCAGGCAGAAATTAAAAATCAATTGAATGAGATGCAATCCAAACTAGAAGTCCTAACGAAGAGGGTTAACGAGGTGGAAGAACGAGTGAGTGACATAGAAGACAAGTTAATGGAAAAGAGGGAAACTGAGGAAAAAAGAGACAATCAATTAAGGGACCATGAAGACAGATTAAGGCAAATAAATGACACTCTAAGGAAGAAAAACCTACGTTTAATTGGGGTTCCCGAGGGCGCCGAAAGGGACAGAGGGCCAGAATATGTATTTGAACAAATCCTAGCTGAAAACTTTCCCAATCTGGGAAGGGAAACAGGCATTGAGATCCAGGAAATAGAGAGATCCCCCCCTAAAATCAATAAAAACCGTTCAACACCTCGACATCTAATAGTGAAGCTTGCAAATTCCAAAGATAAAGAGAAGATCCTTAAAGCAGCAAGAGACAAGAAGTCCCTGACTTTCATGGGGAGGAATATTAGGGTAACAGCAGACCTCTCCACAGAGACCTGGCAGGCCAGAAAGGGCTGGCAGGATATATTCAGGGTCCTAAATGAGAAGAACATGCAACCAAGAATACTTTATCCAGCAAGGCTCTCATTCAAAATGGAAGGAGAGATAAAGAGCTTCCAAGACAGGCAGGAACTGAAAGAATATGTGACCTCCAAACCAGCTCTGCAAGAAATTTTAAGGGGGACTCTTAAAACTCCCCTTTAAGAAGAAGTTCAAGTAACTCTGAACGTGAATGGGCTTAATGACCCCATCAAAAGGCGCAGAGTTTCAGACTGGATAAAAAAACAGGACCCATCTATTTGCTGTCTACAAGAGACTCATTTTAGACAGAAGGACACCTACAACCTGAAAATAAAAGGTTGGAGAACCATTTACCATTCAAATGGGTCTCAAAATATACCCTAAAAACTACAGAACACTTCTGAAAGAAATTGAGGAAGACACAAAGAGATGGAAAAATATTCCATGCTCATGGATTGACAGAATTAATATTGTGAAAATGTCAATGTTACCCAGGGCAATTTACACGTATAATGCAATCCCTATCAAAATACCATGGACTTTCTTCAGAGACTTAGAACAAATTATTTTAAGATTTGTGTGGAATCAGAAAAGACCCCAAACAGCCAGGGGAATTTTAAAAAAAGAAAACCATATCTGGGGGCATCACAATGCCAGATTTCAGGTTGTACTACAAAGCTGTGTTCATCAAGACAGTGTGGTACTGGCACAAAAACAAACATATAGATCAATGGAACAGAACAGAGAACCCAGAAGTGGACCCTGAACTTTATGCTCAACTAATTTACGATAAAGGAGGAAAGACGATCCACTAGAAGAAAGACAGTCTCTTCAATAAATGGTGCTGGGAAAATTGGACATCCACATGCAGAAGAATGAAACTGGACCACTCTCTTGCACCATACACAAAGATAAACTCAAAATGGATGAAAGATCTAAATGTGAGACAAGATTCCATCAAAATCCCAGAGGAGAACTCAGGCAACACCCTTTTTGAACTTGGCCACAGTAACCGGAGAAGGACAAACAGTGTATGTTCTCATTCATTTGGGGAATATGAATAATAGCGAAAGGGAATATATGGGAAGGGAGAAGAAATGTGTGAGAAATATCAGAAAGGGAGACAGAACATAAAGACTTCTAACTCTGGGAAATGAACTAGGGGTGGTGGAGGGGGAGGAGGGTGGGGGGTGGGGGTGAATGGGTGACGGGCACTGAGGGGTACACTTGACAGGATGAGCACTGGGTGTTATTCTGTATGTTGGTAAATTGAACACCAATAAAAATTAATTTATAATAAAAATAAATAAATAAATAAATAAAAAAAATCCCAGGATCTTTACCACAAACTGGTGGATTTCCATGATTCTTTTTTATTTTTTTTACCAATGTAAATCTTAGTTATTATGACACATTATTGCACAGTCCAGTACAAAAAACAGTTTAAAGTGGACTGCTCTAGGGATGCTAGAGTGGCTCAGTTGGTTAAGTGTCTGCCTTCGGTGTAGGTCATGATCCTGGGGTCCTGGGATCGAGCTTCATATTGGGCTCCATGCTCAGTGGGGAGCCTGCTTCTATCTCTCCTTCAATCCCTTCCCTGCCCTCACTCATGCTCTCTCACTCTGCTCTCTCAAATAAATAAATAAAATCTTTAAAAAGTAGACTTCTCTAGTTGAAGCAGGGAGTGGCATCAAACAGTATGCCCTCTCTGCACTACTTTTGTTCCTAAATGGGCTCCATGGAATGCCTAGAGCTCTGAATAGCATAATTTCTAAATCACTATTCTAGACATCACTAAAGGATGTTTGTGCAAGCTACCCGCTGAAGAAGACTATGAGAAAGGGCATCAAGATGTCTCAGCATAACTAGAATGCTTGAGGTCTGTGTTTGGGCAGTTATTTTAAGAATACACTTGATTGGTATTGGCTATACTTAGCACACTTACCCCCTTCCTACCCCAGGCAACTACTGAGAAGGAGTTCCATCGGGCTGTGTGATCACCAAGACCAAGCAACACATTTGAGAATGAGTGTTCCATTTTTCCCCCTCTTTTGGTTTGTGGCTTTGCCCCATGGGCAGGCCCTGCATGCAGAACTGCTCAGCAGCAATGATAGGAGCAGGTAAAACTCTAAAAAGAAATCTCACTTTTCTGCACAAAGAACTGGGGAAAAGGGCCTCTGTGAGGCAGAGGGCATAGGAGGAAACCTGAAAGGAAGTGAGGTCAAGAAGAGGCTGCCCTAATGCTGTGTAAGAAACTATACCAGTCCCTAGTCTACTCTTGAGCTGTATATGCATAGGACAGATCCAAAGTTGCCTAGCAAAAGCTTTGAGAATTGAATTAAGAATCAAACCATCAACCAGGTCTCAGGGAAAAAAGGGAATCCACCAACACAGTCAGTGCTGCTCTATGTCTTTATTACCTTGAGGGGTAGGTGATGAAGGCATCATAGCCAAAGAGGAACACAGCAATGAGGCCCAGTACTCCTGCAATGATTATGGAGCGATTTCCTCCCTCAACAAGGACAACAATGGAGGTGATGAGGTAGAGGGTGGCTGCAATGAGAGTTCGGAAGAAATCAATCCAAGACCAGTATTGTATCTTGGAGGCTAGGTCACACATGTAGATGACAAAGAAGATCTCAGCAAGGATCATCTCAACTACTGACAGAGAGGAGTATGCTGGTGTTGAGAGGCTGAACCAGATTAGAATCACCAGGCACAATATCATCTCAGCACACAGGAGATTTCCTTTTCTGGAGCATAAGAAGTTGGTGAAGACAGTCCAGCAGCCACGGGCTGAGAGGTCCTCAGCCTCCACCATGATGAGGCCTGGAGTTCCTGGAGGCACATAGGATCTGCAGGCTTGATGGAGGGTTCCAGAATGCTGCACACCCAGCCGTTTTGCCTTCTGTCTAAAAAGTGGTTTTAAAAACTTGCAATCTGAAGTTGACTTGGTTGACCACCTGCTAAAACAGTAATTATGATGATTATAATAATAATAATAATAATAATAATAATAATAATAATAAAATACCTTAGAGATTTTTAACAGGATTCATATCTACACAACTTAATATTCTTAAAGTCCAGAATACAATCCAAAATTACCTGATAAGCAAAGAACCAAAAAATGTGGCCAACTCTTTTTATTTATTTATTTATTTATTTATTCATTCATTCATTCAGGGAGAGAGAGAGAGGCAGAGACACAGGCAGAGGGAGAAGCAGGATCCATGCAGGGAGCCTGACATGGGACTTGGATCACACTCCAGGCTGCAGAAGGCGCTAAACTGCTGCGCCACCGGGGCTGCCCAAAATGTGGCCAATTCTTAAGGAAAAAGATAATGAATAGGTGCAAACCCTAAGGTGACACAGATGCTGAAATTATAAGACAAAGACTTTAAAACAATAGATTGTAATAATAATAAGCTCCATAAGGTAAATATACATTAAATAAAATATATAGAAATATAAAAGCACTCAGCAAAAAAATTAAATTCTTGAAAAAGAACAAAATCATTTTAAAGCATACAATCTGTGAAATTACCTGGCTGGCTGACCTCAATAGCAGAATAGCAGAATGAAGATGACAGAGGAAAGGGTCAGTGAACTTGAAGCTAGATTAATAGAAATCATTCAGTCTGAAGAACGAAGAGGAAAATACATTGGAAAAAAATGAATAGAACTTCAGAGAGTCATAGAACTATATCAAAGGTCTAACATTTATAACAACAGAGTCCTATAAATAAATTGATGCAGAAAAAAAATTTGAGGAAACAATGGCTGAAAAGTTCCTCAATTTGATGAGAGACATTAATTTGCATATTCAAGAAGTTTAGTGATCATAAAACAGAATAAACTCAAAGAAAACCACACCCAGACACATTATAATCTAACTACTTAAAACTAAATGTAAAGAAAAAAATCTTAAAGGTAGCTAAGGAAAAATGACAAATATAGGAGAACAATGATGTTAATGATGATGGACTGCTCATCAGAAACCATGAAGGCCAAAGACAGTAGAACAGCATTTTTAAAATGATAGGAAATAATGTTAACCCAGCATTCTATACCCAGCAAAACTATCCTTCAGGAATAAAGGAGACATAAAGATATTCTCAGATGAAGACAATCTAAAAGTACCCATGGCCAACTAAAAGAAATGATACAGGAAGCTCTTCAGACTGAAGGAAAACAATACCAGATGAAACCTAGAAATTTAAGAATGAAAGAAGAATAAAAACAGTAATATCTGGGTAAATAGTGAATCCTTTTTTTAAAAGTTCCTCAAAATATATGTAATTATTATTTTTTGATATATTTTTTAAGTAGGCTCCACACTCACCATGGGGCTTGAACTCATGACCCTGAGATCAAGAATTGTGCACTATCCGGGATCCCTGGGTGGCGCAGCAGTTTGGCGCCTGCCTTTGGCCCAGGGCGCGATCCTGGAGACCCAGGATCGAATCCCACGTCGGGCTCCCGGTGCATGGAGCCTGCTTCTCCCTCTGCCTATGTCTCTGCCTCTCTCTCTCTTTCTCTCTCTGTGACTATCATAAATAAATAAAAATTAAAAAAAAAAGAATTGTGCACTATCCTAACTGAGCCAATCAGGAACCCCCAAAATATGTAGAATTATTGAAGGGAAAAAATTTCACATTGTCTGATAAGGTTTTAAATGCATGTTAATTTAGAGGCACTTGGGTGGCTTGGTCAGTTAAGCATCCAATTCTTGATTTTGGCTCAGGTCATGATCTCAGTGCTGTGAGATGGAGCCTAGAGTTAGGCTCCATACTCAGCAGCAAGTCTGCTAGAGATTCTCTTTCTCCCTCTCTCTCTGTCCCTCCCCTGCTTATGTGTTCCCCTTCTCTCTCTCAGATCTTTAAAAAAATAAATTAAAAAATAACGCCTGTTAATGTAAAACACATGACAACTATAACATAAGGGGAGAGAGTAAGGGATTTACGTGGTTGTAAATTTCTACATATTACTTAAAAATTACTGTATTATCAAGAACAGTGGGGGATCCCTGGCTCAGCAGTTTAGTGCCTGCCTTTGGCCCAGGGTGTGGTCCTCTAGTCCCGGGATCGAGTCCCACGTCAGGCTCCCTGCATGGAGCCTGCTTCTCCCTCTGCCTGTGTTTCTGCCTCTCTGTGTGTGTGTCTCTCATGAATAAATAAATAAATAAAATCTTTAAAAAAAAGAATTAAAAAATCTACATGCTCTTCTCAAGAAACATAGTTTAAATATAAGAACAGGTTAAAAATAGGGATCCCTGGGTGGCACAGCGGTTTAGCGCCTGCCTTTGGCCCAGGGCACGATCCTGGAGACCCGGGATCGAATCCCATGTCAGGCTGCCGGTGCATGGAGCCTGCTTCACCCTCTGCCCGTGTCTCTGCCTCTCTCTCTCTCTCTCTCTCTCTCTCTCTCTCTCTCTCTCTGTGACTATCATAAATAAATAAAAATTAAAAAAAGATTTTAAAAAGAACAGGTTAAAAATAAAAGGATGGAAAAGACATATTATGTAAACAATAATCAAAAGGAAGCCAAAGTAGCTTTAAAAAAAAAGATTTTATTTATTTATTCATGAGAGACACAGAGAGAGAGGCAGAGACATAGGCAGAGGGAGCAACAGGATCCCTGCAGAGAGCCTGATGTGGGACTCGATCCCAGGACCCCGGGATCACGCCCTGAGCCAAAGACAGACACTCAACCATTGAGCCACCCAGGCACCCCCAGAGTGGCTATTTAAAAAAAAAAAAGACTTTATGTATTATTTGAGAGATAGAGAGTGAGAGAGACCATGAACTGGGGGAGGGGCAGAGAGAGAGAGAGAGAGAAGCAGACTCCCCGCTAAGCAAGGAGCCTAATGCAAGTCTCCATCCCATTATCCTGAGATCATGACCTGAGCTAAAGGTGCACTCTTAACCACCTGAGTCACTGTGGTACCCCTAGAGTGGCTATTTTATTTTATTTTATTTTTTTAAAATTTATTTATGATAGTCACAGGGAGAGAGAGGCAGAGACATAGACAGAGGGAGAAGCAGGCTCCATGCACCGGGAGCCCGATGTGGGATTCGATCCCGGGTCTCCAGGATCGCACCCTGGGCCAAAGGCAGGCGCCAAACCGCTGCGCCACCCAGGGATCCCTAGAGTGGCTATTTTAATATCTAATTAAGCTTCAGAACAAAGAATATTGTTAGGACAAAAAAGGACATTAGAGATTTATAATATGGTCACTTACCAAGAACAATCCTAAGTGGGTACACACCTAATAATGAGACTTTACATAAAATACATGAAGCAGGGCCCCCTGGGTGGCTCAGTCTATTGAGTGTCTACCCTCGGCTCAGGTCATGATTCTTAGGTCTGAGGATCAAGCCCCAAGAGAGGCTCCCTGCTCAGCAGGGAGTCTGCTTCTCCCTCTCATTCTCCCTCTGCCTTTACCTCTGCTTGTGCCCTCAGGTGCACACACTTTCTCTCTTTCTCTTTCTCTCTCTCTCTCTGTCACATGCTCTCTTTCTCAAATAAATAAAATCTTTAAAAAATAAAATAAAATACATGAAGCAAAAAAAAAATCTTGACAAATTTTAACAAATTAAAATAACACAAAGTATATTAATTGACAATAAGAAAATATTATAAATCAACAACAAAAAGATAATTCTTTTAGTTTTGCATATAGTTGCCAAATTGTTTAGTCACCAGTTGCTGAAAAACTTTTTTTTCACCACTGAGTTCTTTGACAATTCTGTCAAAAACCAATTTAGTTTCTATAAAACTAAATTCTGTTTTATTCAATGGTTCTGTATGTTTATCATTTTCTAGTACTACACTGTCTTGATAACCATAAATGTATAGTAAGTTTGAATCAAGTAGTGTAGGTGTTTTCCCATTTCAAAGTTGTTTGGCTATTGTAGGTCCTTTGCTTATTTATGAAATTTTAGAATTGACTTGTTAATTTCTGCAAAATTCTCTGCTGATATTTCAATGGAGATTACATTAAAACTATAAATTAACTTGGGGAGAATTGATATTCTAAAAAGCCTTCCAATTCATGAATATAATATACTCTCCATTTATTTAGGTTGTCTTTTATTTCTTATATCAATAATTTATAATTTTTACATATGTAGATTATACTTAAATATTTCATATTCTTTTTAAATATTTCATATTCTTATGCTATCACATAATTATCTGTTTTTTTAAGATTTTATTTATTTACTTGAGAGAGATAGAGAATGTGAGCATTAGCAGAGGGGAGGGACAGAGGGAGAGGAACAAGCAGACTCCTCTCTGAGCAGTGAGCCCAACATGGGCCTCAATTCCAAGACCCTGAGATTGCAACTGAGCTGGAGTCAGATGCTTAACCAACTGAGCAACCCAGGCATCCCACTATCGTATAGTTTTCACATTTCACTTTCTAATAGTTTTTGCTACTTTATAGAAGTAGAATTGATGTTTGTATATTGACCTTGAATCTTAAGACTTGCCTGAAGTCACTTATTATTTCCAGTAGCTTTTATATATTATTTAGGATTTTCTATTTGTTGTCAGTCAACAGAGAGAGATTTATTTCTTTCCAATCTGTATTTATAATATTTCTTTTTCTTGTCTTATTGCACTGGGTTGGCCCTCTAGTGCAGTGTTAGCTAAAAACAGTGAGGGTGGACATCCTTCTCTTGTGCCTGATCATAAAGAAAAGCATTCAGTCTTTCACTGTTAGGTTAGTTATAGGTGTTCCCTAATAAAATGGGGAAGTTACTTTTTATTCTTAGTTTCATAAGCTTTCTAAAAATTCAAGTATATATGTTTTTT